CCTCCCCCCCCCTTCCTCCCCCTTCCTCCTCCTCCTCCTCCTTCGCTCGCGGCTTCCAGGCTTTTCAGGTCTGGGGTCTTTAGTGCAGCTTAGGACAGCCCCCGCCTGAAGGACCCTCGCAGGCCGTGGAGTACCACGGCCAGTCCTCCGTTCCCGCTTTGAGGAGACCGAGCCTAGCTTTCGAGGGAAGGGGTGAGAATCAAGGCCCGCCGCGCCTCGCCTCGCCCCGCCCTGCAGCGTCTCCCTTGACGGAGGCCGTCAGGCGATCTCGGCGGCCAGCCCCGCCGGCTCTGTGCGTGACGGGCGCAAGGGTCCTCGGCGCCTGCGCCCGCTCATATATAGGCAGACGCCGCGCCGCTCCGCAGTGTTGGCCTTGTTCTCCTCTTTTCTGTGTTTTTTTTTTTTTGCAGACGCCGCCCTGCTCTCATCAGCCTCTGGCCCGCCATCTCCTTGAGTCCTAACACTGTGAGTTGCCGCCGACGGAGCTGGGAGGGGCGGTGGCGCCGCGGATTGCGAGCTGGTGGCCGCACCGCTGGTGCTTTGGCCCTGCTGGAGGCGGGAGGCACCTGGGCCTGGCCTTCCCTCAGGCTCTTTGGAACCCCTTGTCGGCCTTGTTCTCCCACCCCGCCCCTCGACTCGGCGAGGCCTCCTCTAGCCTCGCGTCTTCACGGCGCCCCGTGGGTGCGCGGGCGGGCGGGAGGGAGAAGGTGCGAGCCGAACCCGAGATTAGGCCTTCTCTGCACAGGGCGGCCGTCAGCCGCGGCGGAGCTCGGCTGAGGGCCCAGGCTGGGGCCGGGGGCCTCGCTTGGCGTTGAGCCTGCCAGCCACTGGCACCCAGGGCGAGGGAGGCGGCGGGGCTTTTAATTGAGTTCCCGGGGCTGTCGTGAGCGTGGGCGTGTGTCCGTGTTTGTTGTTTTGGTGTCCGGAGGAAGCGTGGCGGTGGTAGTCCGGGAGCGCTGGATTCTTGGCACCCATCCTTTTCTCGCCCCTGTATCTAGCGTCGCTAGTCACCGGTCCTGGCTAACTGTGCTGGGTCCGAACCTTGGCAGAGAGCCGCCTGCTCCTTCGGAATATTTCTCTCCCATTACTTTGCCACAGCCTGGGCTTGCTGAAACCATTGTTGTAATAGCAGATGCCATCGTCATAGTGGTGTGGCTTTTAGGTGCTCTAACTCCTAACTCGAGGTGCCTGGTTTTTGAAGGGGTAGGACATTCACCTGCTTCGGTTTACTTTTTTTTTTTTTTTTTCGGTTTACTTTTTAATGGAGACTTCAGTTTTAGGTTTTGGGTCACGATTTTTTTCATCAGAGCGTTACAGTAGAATGTTTCTGTGTCATAGAGCAATGCAGATTTCACTCTACCCTCTAAAAAGAGGTGTCAGAATTTCGGGTCACTTAAAACAGGTTTTTCCCTTTATGGTGTTGATAGAACCCACTCAGAGAGAATGATTTACAAGTACTGGAGCATAAGGAATTGAAGGAATGGTCTTGAAAGCATGTCAAACAAAATTTCACCCATCATTATACGAAAAATTTGCTCTGAATTCCAGCTGTATAACACTAAAAAAGTTGTCTTTGAGTACCAAGTTTAGCGTTACAAAGTGCATCGAATTACAGATTAACCGATTGTTTCTCTATTTATTAAGATCTCCGCTCCCATAGGAGTAACCTAATAGACGAATTTGACTATGACTAAGCAGATCTTGCTGTTTATCAGAAGTTATTTGAAATATGAAATGTTCGTCTTGCTTAAAAGTAATTTTATCAACTGTGTTGCCAGACTCTTGATTCTATAATGTTCACTCCAGTACTGTGAAACATAAAAAGATCATAGAATGTTTCGTAATTAAAAATAGAGCTCACGTTAAAATATTTCTTTTGGGGATACCTTTTGTTATTGCCTTGTCACAGAGAAGGTCCTCTGCTCTGGGTCTTTCTCCATGGAGCAGGACAACTGCATTATTGGCAAGTACTGAGCAACACGGAAAAGCAGACATATTTGTGAACTGTAAAATGAAATCTGATTCTGTCCACCCATGGATGGGTGAGAGCTGGATATTTCAATGGCTGGTTTTAAAACAGCTTTACCTTTTTGCTTCCTTGCCTTAACAGCTTGTTGTTTGGGAAATGTAGACAATTGGCTGGGGAAAGCGGAATGAATATTTTAGCTGATTTAATGGGTCTTAAGTCTTGGGACCTAAAAAGGTTCGATCAGTGTTTTAAATGCCAAATTCTATGTTTTTAACTTATAACGACATCGCAGGATTATGATGGACCTTTAAAAAATCTATACTTGCAATTTAAAGAGGTTTTGAATTTTTACAGTCAGGTATTGTTGCCGTTCCCCCCTCCCCTGTGCCACTCCCCCAAGAATCTGAATATGGTAAGAAATTGCTGGCTTAGAAGCTTAGAACTTATAATTTTAAAGAGGTGTTTTTTTGTTTGTATGTTTTGTTTTTTTTTTTTGCCAAAACTCAAGTCTTTTGAAGTTAATTGCTTAATTAACTTTTATGTAAGAGGTGTCTTTTTCCTAATGACTCATAATTAATCTGAGTTAATAAATACATTTTTGGCGCAAGTAATAGGTTATTACTATGAGGACTTTGGCAGGAGATCTCAAACTTGGACACCTGGACAGTCAGTAATGAAAGGTGAAAAGGACTCTGAAATTTACTAGGTTTACAACATCTGCTTATCCTTAAAATATTTTATTCTTTTGTGTATGGTCTTGCATTGATCCAAACATAAATAAGTATATCCTGATCTACTCTTTGGATCTGAACTCATTTTTCACTGGTAAGTCTCACTGTGGGAAAATTACTATCTTATCTGGTAGCTTTGTTTATTTTGGACTCACCTCCCTCTGGTTTGCAGGTGGAGTAGTCAGTGTTCAGTGAGAGCAGGAAGGCAAGCAAAGAATAAGTCCATTTTAGATACATTTTGCATCAAAAATATAAAGTGTTAATTCTAAAACTTACACTAGTAATGAATTCAGTAGGGCAGGCTTTAAAAGCTTCTGTTCCTAGGAGTTATACTTTGACAAAATTTTTATAGAAACACTTGTGTGCTAGCCTGTGAATAATCACTTAGTGTTTTATAGGGTTATATACTATAGGTCCTTAGGGTTTTACGGTTTATAAGTTAGAAGGTGTCTAACAGACTGTAGTTTGAAATGTAGTTTGTATAGAAGTAATATCTCTTAAATTTCAAATTCAATATAATACCTTTTTTTAGATGCCTTCAATTAAGTTGCAGAGTTCTGATGGAGAGATATTTGAAGTTGATGTTGAAATTGCGAAACAATCTGTGACTATTAAGACCATGTTGGAAGGTAAGTTTATTAGAAAACGTGGGTCAGAGGAAAGGGAAAGAAATCCGTAGCTTGATATACTGTGTGAACATCAAATCTACAGAAGTAACAATCTGTCAGAAAACTCTCAGGGGTATGAAGGGGTAAAGTTTACTTTTTTTTCGTTAAAGTATTAACTGCATTTTTTTTTTGGTACAGGTCAGTTTTTTCTGCATTTTCGGACTTACTGAGTTTTTTCCCTTATTAGGTAGATAATACCATAAGCTAATACTGAAATGATTTCCAAGCCTCAGACAATGGCCCATTTCTCTTTCAAGTAAATTTGTGTTCATAATTTCTAATGACAAAAAGTAAAGCCTTTGGAAAAGAGATACCTTATATATGGTAGCTAAATAGAACACCTTGTTTCAACAGCCGGAGTAAGCTGAGTAGATTGTAAACTGAGTAGATGTCTGTTTCTTTCTTCTTTTTTTTTTTAACCAAGTCTTCCCTTTTGTCTGTTTTGTCATTCCTCTGAAACTGCTGCAAAGCATATATGCAGTGCATCAAAGAAGGAAGGCAAGAAAACAGGTCCTGAAACGTTTGAAACTTTTACTAGTTAACATGGATCTCTCTCTCTTTTTTTTTTTTAAAATTAATTAATTACTTTTTGGCTCAGTTGGGTCTTCGTTGCTGCACGCGGGCTTTCTCTAGTTGCGGCGAGTGGGGGCTACTTTTCCTTGTGGTGCGCGGGCTTCTCATTGCGGTGGCTTCTCTTGTTGCAGAGCACAGGCTCTCGGCGCACAGGCTTCAGAAGTTGTGGCTCGTGGGCTCTAGAGCACAGGCTCAGTAGTTGTGGCGCACAGGCTTAGTTGCTCTGCAGCATGTGGGATCTTTCTGGACCAGGGCTCAAACCCACGTCCCCTGCGTTGGCAGGCGGATTCTTAACCACTGCACCACCAGGGAAGCCCTGGATCTCTAATTAGTATTATCAGTGGGTTGGTAGACATTAATAGTATATGGAGACATACAAATCAGTTTCTAGAATTGGTGGGAAAAAAAACAGTAGTAATAAGAATGTTCTTCAGTACATTTGTCTCCATATCTGCAGGGGATTGGTTCCAGGACCTCCTACGGATACCAAAATCCATGGATACTCAAATCACTTATATAAAATGGTGTAGTATTTGCATATAACGTACATACATTCTCCCTTATACTTTAAATTATCTCTAGATATTTATACCTAATAACACCATAAATGCTATGTAAATTCAAATTTAGCTTTTTGGAACTTTCTGGAATTTTAAATTTTTTATTTTTTAATACGTTCTATCCACGGTTTGAATCCGAGGATGTGGGACCTGCAGATACGGAGGGCTGAGTGCATTCAAATATCAAAAGTTTTTGTTTATCTGTAGCTTATAGATATTTAATTAAAGAGTTATATGCCAAGCATTAGCGGGAGATATAGTAGTCAGTGTTCAGTGAGAGCAGAAAGTCAGGCAAAGAATAAGTCCTGGTGCTGGTGAAAAGAAGGTAAGTGAGAACTGGTCTTTGCTCTTGAAGGATTTATAAACTAGGCAGGGAGATAGACACCAAACAAGGCTAATGGTCACATGGTATAATTAGTGCATTAATAAAATTGTGCCACGTGGTGCTATGGGAACTCCTTGGCTGATGTTATTCTTTAGGCTTGTGGAGAGAGTGCAGTGTAGTACTAGTGAGGTGATATTTCAAACCTAGTAAAATTAAGATGTTTTGGGAGATCATTCTGAGGTAAAGTAGACAGTATGTGTTTAAAAAAAATTGAGGTTTTTAGTTGGGGTTGTGATTGTGATACTTGTCGTTGATAGAGCTGAGGAGCAAGTTTGAGGGGAATGGAAAGAAAATGACTTTGAGCTTGAACATGTTGTGTATGTTAGAGATTCCCTCAGAAGATCTTTGTAATAAGCTACTAGTCAGTTGAGTATGTGAATCTTGGTCCCTGAGTTGTAGGCTGCTGGGGATAGACTGACTTTGTATGGTGGGTTATAGGAATATATATATATATATCTGTGGAAGTAAATGAGCTTGGCAGGTGGCCATGTTGGGGCAGGATGGGCTGTTAAGAGTGAAGTCAGAAGTAGAGAATACGTGGAGTAGGAAGCCAAGGGAAAAGGGAGGCATTTTGAAGTGACTAGAGTGATTGTCAGATTCATATACTGTAGACTGGTCACTTAGGATTTCAGGGATAATAAGTTAGAAGACTTCTAATAGCAAGTATTAGGTGTGGTAGAGGCAGAAGCTGAGCTGCAGGTTTGTCTTCTGTTTTCTAATAGAAAATAAAAGCTGAACATATTCTTTTCGGTTTTCTTTTTAGTTTTTTTCCTGGTTTCTAATAGAAAATAAAAGCTGAACATAAAGTTGTTTTTGGTAATTGACACCAGTTATGTGGCACTTACAGTCCTGCACCCTGGTGACTTACATAGATTACTTTTATTAAGTTGTAAACCCCTTGGTACAACCCACAGTCACTGTTCATCAAGTACGTGTTGAATGAAGAACTATAGTATGGTCACTGATAAAAGAGTGTGAAAGTTATCCAGGTGTCCCTAAAGGCAGGTGAGTAAGGCTTTATCTAGAAGATGTAGAAACTGATAACAAAATTGCTGCCTGAATACTTGCTTTATTTCATCTTAGTTGGTGCCTGGCACACTAATCTCTCCTGTGCTGCTTCAAAGAAGCATTTGCCAGTGTAGGAACATAGGGCTGCTTGAAGGTTTTCTGCCAACTTTGATCACTGAAGCAAGTGGATGATAGATAGCAACAATTAAAATGTTTCTTTCCTTTCATAGCTTTGGGCATCAGAGGTGAATGGCTTTATCTTAAGTACCAGTGGTTTATATAGAATTCTAGCCTCTTGAAGACTGGAGTGTATTGAAATAAAATCTTCTAATCAGTGGACAATCAGAAGTGAAAATCTTGGCATGTGTACACATGGATTGACTCATTTCTTCAGGTCCAGGTTGTGGTATCAGGATACAGGTGTCTTTCAGAAGTCCTTGAAACTAAATAGCTTAAAGGAATGACTGTTGGTACTTGTGCATTCAGTCTAAAAGCAAAAACCATTTCAAATCCTCGGTTTAATGCTAGAGAAGTGATCCTTTACAACTGTAAGGCCCTTATTTTTTTTATTTTTTTTTTAAGGCCCTTATTTTTTTTTTTTTTTTTTTTTTTTTTGCGGTATGTGGGCCTCTCACTGTTGTGGCCTCTCCCATTGTGGAGCACAGAATCCGGACGAGCAGGCTCAGCGGCCATGGCTCACGGGCCCAGCCGCTCCACGGCATGTGGGATCTTCCCAGACCGGGGCACGAACCCGTATCCCCTGCATCGGCAGGCGGACTCTCAACCACTGCGCCACCAGGGAAGCCCTAAGGCCCTTATTTTTAATGTGACTTAAGCCTTCTTCCAAATAACATTTGTATCTAAACAAGCTGGTCTTCTGTATTTCATTTCCTCTAATCTGTTCATTCCCCAAACACATGTATTTTCCATAGTATAACTTCTTTTCTCCCCTCTGAGTTAAAAATACTTCATACTAGTTCAAGAAAAGCATAAGTGGCTTGATCCAAATTGAAATATTGTCATTTTATAGTTTTACTCTCAGCAGAGATGGGATCAGGTAAAGGCATTGGTGGGGAGGAATAGAGGGGGGATGAATGAATGTACCCATACAGGAAAATAGAATACTTTTTGAATATACTCTCATCTTTACCACTCCACTGGAGAAGCTTGTTAAACTCATTGAGCTCCATGTTGTCAAGTGCATTGTTTCATTTCTCATCTAGACTTATTGATAACCTTTGACAGATCAGTCCCTTCTACATTTGGCTTTCAGGATACTTAATACTTAGCTCACTGACAACCTGTCTCCCCATCTTTAAAGCCTTCTTCCCATCTTTAAAGCCTTCAGTTCCCGGGAGTTTGCTTAATCATTGTACCTCTTCACTGTATCAATACTCAGTCATTCCCTTGGTTACCTCAGGTAGACTCATAGTGTTATAAATAATTTATACATCATTTCCCAAACTTACCTACAGTTCTAATCTCTTCTTTTGATTTTTAGACTTGCATATTTAACTTCTTGGTCTACCATTGAATATCTAATAGATATCTCAAACTTATTAAACTAGAATTGTTTTCTTTTTTTTTAATTTATTTTTGGCTGCGTTGGGTCTTCGTTGCTGCGTGCTAGCTTTCTCTAGTTGCAGCGAGCGGGGGCTACTCTTCTATGTGGTGCACAGGCTTCTCATTGCGGTGGCTTCTCGTTGCAGAGCACGGGCTCTAGGTGTGTGGGCTTCAGTAGTTGTGGCACGCGGGCTCAGTAGTTGTGGCGCATGGGCTTAGTTGCTCCACGGCATGTGGGATCTTCCTGGACCAGGGCTTGAACCTGTGTTCCCTGCACTGGCAGGTGGATTCTTAACCACTGTGCCACTAAGGAAGTCCCCAAACTAGAATTCTTGATTCCCTGCCCTCTAAAACAAGTTCTCTGACAACCTTCCCCATATCAATTAGTGGCAACTCCAATGGCAGCTCCATCCGTCTGGTTCCTCATGTTATAAGCCTTAGCCGTCGCTAACTCCTTTCACATTCTGCTTTCCATCTGTTGGCAAATCCTGTTGCCTCTCACTTCAAAATGCATACAGAATTGGACTATTTCTTCTTCCATAGCTATATACCTTGTACAAGCCACTTGGACTTGCCTGCATCATTGCTAGCCTCATAATTGGTTTCCCTCTTTCCCCTCCTGCTCTCTGCTGTCTCTTACCAATATAGTAGCCAAATTGCAGCAGGCCCTGTTAGGGCCCTGTCATCTCCTTTCAACCTGGCTAACTCTGCTCTTGTAACACTAGATTCCTTAGTGTTTTTAGGACACTATATCAGAAGGCCTTTGCATTTGCCATTTCCTTTGCTTAGGTGTTCTCTCCTTTAGGATTTTAATTAAAATGTCATCTTCTCTGTGAGGCATCCTGAGCAACTCTATCTAAAGTTGCAACAGTTCCTCCCATCCTCCTGTATTCATTGCTGATTCTTCCCTGCCTAGCACAGCTATATGTTAGGGACTCAAATGTATGCCTCAACACTTAACCATGTCAGCATAACTGGTGCTGTGCTACAACCAGTATAGCAATGCAGTACTTTTGACCTCTGATCTTGGTACTTCTGTTACATAAGTTTCTTTGGCAGCTCTTTTTTAGTCCTGTAGAAACTGAAGGATGGACCCATTTGGTTTGAAAAATACTCTTATTTAGAATCTTTAAGTAACATACGGATTTAAAATTTTCTCTTTGGAGCTCAGCAACCACTTTGATAGTCTAAAAGTTAGGACTTTTTATTAGAGAAACCTATATATTCAAAATTATAAGTAGTATGTATGTGATGAATAACACTAAAGGGTATATGTTGAAACTACGTCTCTCAACCCATGTGCTCATTAACTACGTTGGACATAATATTAACAATTCCTTGTATATCCTTTTGAAGATATTTTAAATATAAATATAAGTATATTCCCATTTTTATTCAGGTAACATTTATCTTTTATATTTGGCTTTTAAAAACTTTAATCTTGAAATCATACCAGTATGTACGGAGCTGCCTGCCTTGTTTTTTTGTCAGTTGCTGCACGATCTGGTGTGTGTGTGTGTGTGTGTGTGTGTGTGTGTGTACACATTTTTGGGCTTCAGATTTTAATAGATTGAGATTCTGTTACTTCTGCAATACCTCACATTGTTTTATTTTCCTAAGTGCAGTCCATTTAGAGTTTGGTATAAAGAGTAAGGGTAAGCGTCTAGCTTTAATTTTTTTCCCAGGTGGTTGCCCAGTTGTCTCAATCCCACTTATTAAATCACTTTTCCTCCTAATGAAGAAAACTCTTTTTATATAATCCTGTATTTGTCTTCTCACACATTTTTATATAGTTTTGGGTGGTTCATGGAGCTGTTGCTAGGAACCGCCAGTTTTAAATAATTTCAAGAGAACTATTCTTAGTAAAGCACTTTTATAGTCTTTCAGATAACATGTCTTACAAGTTACTTGTTTGAAACAGCCTGGTTGTTACAATGGGGCTAGAAAATAATGGCAACTCTCTTCTGGTTTACTTAGATTTGGGAATGGATGATGAAGGAGATGATGATCCAGTCCCCTTGCCAAATGTTAATGCAGCAATATTAAAAAAGGTAAGGTAGCAACTATACCCTTATATATATATATATATATATATATATATATATGTATGTATGTATGTATGTATGTATGTATCCTTTTTCTCATTAACAATATCCTGGTGATATTTCTATATTGATATATAGATAGCTTCCTTAAAAACAAAACAAAAACAACTATATAGTAACATTATGACTAAGATATTTATTTTAGTTTAACCAGGCCCTGTGAATATTTAAGTTGTCTAGTCTTTTTCATTAACACATTTAAATGATTGAAATATAATGGTATGTGCTTAGCAAAAAGGGAAATTTTTTTGTATTGCTTGTCTATTGAATGGGTATGCCTCAAAAGGAGTTTGAGGGACTTCCCTGGTGGTCAGTGGTTAAGAATCCGCCTGCCAATGCAGGGGACACGGGTTCGAGCCCTGGTCCAGGAAGATCCTACATGCCGTGGAGCAACTAAGCCCGTGCACCACAACTACTGAGCCTGTGCTCTAGAGCTCGTGAGCCACAACTACTGAGCTCACACACCTAGAGCCTGTGCTCCGCAACAAGAGAAGCCACCATAATGAGAAGCCCGCGCATCACAACAAAGAGTAGCCCCTGCTCGCCGCAAGTAGAGAAAGCCCACACACGGCAACGAAGACCCAATGCAGCAAAAAATTAAAAAATATTTTTTAAAAAAGGAGTTTGAGAACAAGATATGTGCTTTTTTTGGTTTGTTTCTTTTTTTTTTTAGTTGATCACCTTACCCTGTGTCTAAGCATAAACAGTCCTCTACATATTATTATATTTTTGGCTGCACTGTGCACGGCTTGCGGGGATCTTAGTTCCCCGACCAGGGATTGAACCTAGGCCCATGGCAGTGAAAGCACCGAGTCCTAACCATTGGACCACCTGGGAATTCCCCAGCCCTCTACATTGAATAGGATTTTAGTGTTTCAGAGCATATGGCTCCTTAATAGAGCCAGCTGTTTAACTGAATGCTCTTCTGAAGAAACAGCAGCCAGTTTCCACATCGCAGCGAAAACTGGCTAGGCTTAGAGATGGGAATGGTCATTTCTAGTTGGCCCCTTCCTAAGGAATTTTCAGTCATTGACCATATGCAGTTGCATTTGCTTTCTCTTGACCCTGGCATGAGATACAGCTGCACTGCATATTTTTCCATATTCTTACCATGATTGGCTATTACCAGTCTTTTTAATATCCCTAGTCTGGGTAAAAAGCCCCTTGTAACCACTATTCTGTATTCCGTCTCTGTGACTTTGACTATACTGGGCTATCTTATAAAAAATGGGATCATAGGCTATTCTTCTGTGTCTGGCTTATTTCACTTAGCGTAATGTTTTCAAGGTTCATCCATTTTGTAGTCTTAATAGGCTTTTTATAGGAGTTCTTTATGTAGTTTTTACCACTTTGCTTGTCTTAGGTTAATTCACAGCTTTATATTTTTATCTAGTTAGATCTCCTTTTTTTTTCTTATTTTTTATTTATTTTTGGCTGCGTTGGGTCTTCGTTGCTGCGTGCAGGCTTTCTCTGGGTGCAACGACCGGGGGCTACTCTTCATTGCGGTGCACGGGCTTCTCATTGCGGTGCCTTCTCTTGTTGCAGAGCACGGGCTCCAGGCAGGCAGGCTTCGGTAGTTGTGGCTCGCAGGCTTCAGTAGTTGTGGCACACGGGCTCAGTAGTTGTGGCTTGCGGGCTCTAGAGTGCAGGCTGAGTAGTTGTGGCACACGGGCTTAGTTGCTCTGTGGCATGTGGGATCCTCCCGGACCAGGGCTCGAACCCATGTCCCCTGCATTGGCAGGTGGATTCTCAACCACTGAGCCACCAGGGAAGCCCAGATCTCCTTTCTGACTTCAGGGTTTTGTGTTGCAAATTAACATTCTATCTTATGCTAATATAATATGCTTCTAAAATGACTTTTACTTGCATTCCTTCAAATTCCAGGCAGTTTTTAGGTGCTGGAGGTACGGCAGTGAACTAAAGAGACAAGATCTGTTCTTAGGTAGTTTACGTTCTGAAGGTGTGTGGGACGCATACAACACAAACATGTCAGATGGAAAAGCTGTGGAGTTTAAGTGGGATGGTAGGGGGGAGTTGGCTATTTGTGAAATAAAGTTGGTCAGGAAATGCCTTACTGTGAGAAGTGGATCTTTGAGCAGAGACATGAATATGTGGGGGAAGAAAGCTCTGGGCAGTGGGAGTAAGTGCAGTGACCCTAAGATAAGAGCATGTCCTGTCTTTTGAGGTAAGGCAGGGAGGCTGGTGTGGTGGCTAGATCATAGTGAACAGGCAAGGAAGTAGAGGTTAGAATTAATGGATTGGGTGATACAGAGCCACTTAGAATAATTTTTTTCGAATCTATTTGCATTATTACTTATCAATATTTAAACTTAGGGCTTCCCTGGTGGCGCAGTGGTTGAGAGTCCGCCTGCCGATGCAGGGGACACGGGTTTGTGTCCCGGTCCGGGAAGATCCCACATGCCGCGGAGCGGCTGGGCCCATAAGCCATGGCCGCTGAGCCTGTGCGTTTTGGAGCCTGTGCTCCGCAACGGGAGAGGCCACAACAGTGAGAGGCCCGTGTACCGCAAAAAAAAAAAAAAAATTTAAACTTAAGTATATTTACTGATTATATGACCCCCAAACTGTAAAAGTGTAAAGTAAAATTTCCCTTCCTTGTCTCTCCTCTGACCAGAAACTCCCATCAGCATTAATTTCTTACGTAGCTTTTTTTTTTTAAAGCTTTTTTTAAAAAAATTATTTTATTTAGTTTTGGCTGTGTTGGGTCTTCGTTGCTGTGCGTGGGCTTTCTCTAGTTGCAGCGAGCAGGGGCTACTCTTCGTTGCAGTTTGCAGGCTTCTCATTGTGGAGGCTTCTCTTTTTGCGGAGCACGGGCTCTAGGCACGCGGGCTTCAGTAATTGTGGCACGCGGGCTCTCGAGTGCGGGCTCAGTAGTTGTGGCGCACCACCTTAGTTGCTCCGTGACATGTGGGGTCTTCCTGGACCAGGGCTCTAGCCCATGTCCCCTGCATTGGCAGGTGGATTCTTAACCACTGCACCACCAGGGAAACCCTACATAGCCTTTTAAGACTTTTTAAATGCCATATATTACTAATTGGTTTCTTTTTTTTCTTTTTTTTGCGGTATGCGGGCCTCTCACTGTTGTGGCCTCTCCCGTTGTGGAGCACAGGCTCCAGACGCGCAGGCCTAGTGACCATGGCTCACGGGCCTATCTACTCCGCAGCATGTGGGATCTTCCCGGACCGGGGCATGAACCCATGTCCCCTGCATCGGCAGGCGGACTCTCAACCACTGCACCACCAGGGAAGCCCTGGAATACTTCTTAAAAAGCTATTTAATTAAAGCCCTTTATGCTTGGCTTTTTCTTCTAGAAGTAGTTCTTTCCCATTTTTGTATCCTTATAGTATAATTTCTCAGTTCTCCCATTTTCTCTCAGCATTGTTTATTCCCCCAACATTATAATATAAAAAAAAGTTAATTATACAGAAAAGTTAAATTATACAGCAAACACCCATTTTCCTACCACCTAGATTCTGTAACTTAACACTTTCAGTGTAGATTGTGGTCTATATGATGGTGCACAGTCTAGCTAATCAGCTTCTGGAAACTTTAATGTGTTCATTCCATTACTAAGGGAACTTTGGGCTTTTCCTGCATTGTTCTTATACTGGATAGTGTTGTGCATGTGTCTAGGGTGTTTAGAATTGCTTGGTGATAGTGTATGCACATATTCAGCTTCCCTAGGTACTCCTAGGTTACTTTTCAAAGGGATTATACCAGTTTACACTCTACAGTAGAAAAGTTCATGTTATCCTCACACTGTTGCCAATGATTAGTATTGACATCTTGATTTTTATTTATCTTTTGTGGGTACAGTCTAAAGTAGTATCTGTAGTGTTAATTTTGCATTTAATGAGGCTGAGCATTTCCTCCTTTTAGACTATTCATATTCAGATATATTTTGTAAATTGCCTGTTAATATCTTTAGCCCATTTCTGTGTAGAGATTTTTAAGATTTTATATTTTATAAGGTAATCCATTGCTGGCATGTACATGTTGCAGGTATTTCCCAGTCATTGTCCTGTCTGACTTAATGTGTTTTTTTGCACAGGAGCTTTTTAGTATGGTCAAGTATAGTAATCTGTCTTCATCGTTCGCTGTTATCTAAGATCTTCCATGAACTCTAGGGCTGTGCTTTTCAAGCTGGGCTACTAACTTTACTATTCAAGTTGACTTACAGTTAGTTCTTAGCCCCATGTAGGAATAACCTTGCCCCAGCAGTGGAACGAAGTACTTTGTTATAAAATGCCATATAGGAATGAACTTTTGTTGTTCTAGGTCATTCAGTGGTGCACCCACCACAACCCACCACAAGGATGATCCTCCTCCTCCTGAGGATGATGAGAACAAAGAAAAGTGAACAGATGATATCCCTGTTTGGGATCAAGAATTCCTGAAAGTTGACCAAGGAACACTTTTTGAGCTTATACTGGTATGTTTTTAATGCATAGTATAAGATATTTCTAGTCCATACCTTTAGCACTTTTCATAGAGTTAAATTTGTTAAATTCATTGATATTGAATTTTAACTCTAAACTCTGCAATGCTATATTTAAATCCATGTATCAATAACCACATTAAATGTAAACAGTCTAAACACCACAATTAAAGGTTAGAGGTCATCACATTGGATAGAAAAGAGTTAGCTATTCTGTCTACAAAAAACTCACTTTAAATATAAAGACACAATTAGGTTTAAAGGGTGGAATAAGATAATATTATGCTAACAATAATAACCAAAAGAAAACTGGAGTGACTATATTAAAGTACATTTCAGAGTGAAGAATATTATCAGGATTAAAGAGGATCATTGCATAATGATAAAGTGGTCTGTTCATTATTAAGAGGACATAAGAATCCTAAATGTTTTTCTCTCTAAAAGCAGAACTTCCAGAAAGTGAAACAAAAACTAGTAGAACTCTAAAGGTTAAGTAGGCAAATCCACAATCATAGTTAGAGATTTCAAAACCTGTCTCTAAATAATTGATAAAACAAGTAGACAGAGAATCATAAGGATGTAGAAGACTAATGAATGACAGCAGAATTCATATTCTTTTCAAGTGTATACTTCCAAGATAGACGTGTTGTGGGCCTTAAAACAAGTCACAGGGGAACTTCCCTGGTGGTCCAGTGGTTAAGGCTCCTGCGCTTCCATTGCAGGGGCTGCAGGTCCAATATCTGGTTGGGAAACTAAGATCCCACATGCTGCGTGGCACGGCCAAAGCAAAACAAAACAAAGAAGTCTCATTTGAAAGGATTCAAGTCACACAAAATATGTTTTCTAATCACAGTGGAATGAAATGAGAAATTAGTAACAGAAAGCTATCTGGAAAATCTGCAAATATTTGAAAACTAAGTAACACATTTCTTAGTAATCAAGAATGATCACTGAAGGATGAGTCAATGAAGAAATCACAAGAAAAGTTATTATTTTAAACTGAATGGAAGTGAAACACAGCATACAAAAATCTGTGAGATTAAGCTAAAGTAGCATTTAGAGGGAAATTGATAGCCCTAAACACCTATATTAGAAAAGAGAGGGGCTTCCCTGGTTGCACAGTGGTTAAGAATCTGCCTGCCAATGCAAGGAACATGGGTTTGATCCCTGGTCCTGGAAGATCCCACATGCCGCGGAGCAGCTAAGCCCATGCACCACAACTACTGAGCCTGTGCTCTGGAGCCCGTGAGCCACAACTACTGAGCGCTCGTGCCACAGCTACTGAAGCCCACGCGCCTAGTGCCTGTGCTCCGCAACAGGAGAAGCCACCACAATGAGAAGCCCATGCACTGCAACGAAGAGTAGCTCCCACTCGCTGCAACTAGAGAAAGCCCACGTGTAGCAGCAAAGACCCAATGCAGCCAAAAATAAAATAAATAAATAAATATATTTTTTAAAAAAGAAAGAAAAGTTTCAAATCAGCAGTCTAAGCTTTTTTTTTTTGCGGCACGCGGGCCTCTCACTGCTGCGGCCTCTCCCGCCATCATGGGCCCAGCTGCTCCACGGCATGTGGGATCCTCCCGGACCGGGGCATGAACCCGTGTCCCCTGCATCGGCAGGCGGACTCCTAACCACTGTGCCACCAGGGAAGCCCAGCAGTCTAAGCTTTTACCTTAAGAAACTAATGAAAGATGAATTTCATCCCGAAGAAAGGGAGTAGTAAAGGTTAAGAGTAGAAATCAGTAAAATAGAAAACAGGAAAACAATAGAGAAAATCAAAGAAACCAAAAGTTGAATCAGAAGGTCAGTAAAATGTAATGCTATAACTACTTATGGGATCTTAGTTCCCCGACCAGGGATTGAACCTGGGCCCTTGGCAGTGAGATCATAGAGTCCTAACCACTGGACCACCAGGAAAATCACTGAATTCTTTAAATATTCTTGTCAAACACAAACTTGTGTTTGTGTGTGTGCACACGTACACAACTGCCAGTAGTGGCCATTCTTTGACATTTGAGGTAGTGTAGTTTGCTGAATGTAGCGCAAGGACTCAGTATTACAGAGGTATAACAAAGAATGGAACATACAATAATCTTTCACAGAAGAATTTGTCTGATTTATTTATTCATTTAATTTCTTAAAATTAACTAGTATTTTAAGCTAAGTTAGATATGGATTGTTAGTCACTGACTTTGGATTTAATTTAAAGCATCAGGTATACTTTAATGAAAACAACAATTACTTTACAGGCAGCAAACTACTTAGACATCAAAGGTCTGCTTGATGTTACCTGCAAGACTGTTGCCAATATGATCAAGGGGAAAACTCCTGAGGAGATTCGAAAGACATTCAATATCAAAAATGATTTTACTGAAGAAGAGGAAGCCCAGGTAGGTGGCTAACAGCTTGTTCTTGATCATGCTTTTCAAGAGAGACTGAAACCCATAGCATGCTAGGAAAAGAGGTATTTATATCAAGGAGTCTTGACTTTACTTGAGGGAAAATAGGTACCTTCTGTATGCTAAAAATATTGTGGTCTGTCTCTTAGTCTAAGCACTTAGATGATACTGTTCTTTTATAAGCACAAGAACAATTAGTTTTCATCCAAAGGTGCTGTTTGATATTTGTTCCTTAGCAGCTAGTTACTAGTTTTGGCACCTGGGACCTTACATGTAAGCCATCAATACTTTAGAAGAGCAGGCCCTATGGATTATGTGCCAGGATACTTCAGAGCAACTTAGTGAATGGGGAGGAAATGAATAGATCAGATTTTGTTGATGCAGGTCATCTCTGGTGACTAAAGCTGTAATTGCCCATTGTCTTTGCTTTTCTTGATAATTTCAGCAGGGCACAATAAAAAACTGGGGAGGGAAAGAATGGTAACCTGGAAGCATACTGTTAACTGGGTTTTTCCGGTTTTCCATCTATTTCCTTCTGACCCACCTCACAGGCTATTGATGAATCATTAGATAGTAGTCTTAGAAAAGACTGCTTAAGGTACTTCCTTATATCTGTCTCTTCTTCTAGGTACGCAAAGAGAACCAGTGGTGTGAGGAGAAGTGAAATTTTGTGTCTGATGCTGTAACACTGTAAGGATTGTTCCAAATACTAGTTGCACTGCTTTGTTTATAATTGTTAATATTAGAAAAACAGTCCACAAATGCAGCAGCAAATCAGTTGTATTAGCAGAATGTTGTCCTCATTGCATGTGTAGTTTCAGTACAGATTCCAAACTTATGGCTCAGTTTCTTCTAGTATGATCAAAAGTTCTTTATTCTTTGCTCTGAATAAAATTAAACTGTGGGTTCTCTATAGAAAGTGGCATTTTGGGCTTTCCCTCTTTTTGTAAAGCAATTTATGCCTAGTTTATTGTCCAGTTAACTTTAGTTTAGTGACTTTTAAAAGTTGGCATTGTAAATAAAACAACTTGCAAAAAATTTTCTGAAATAGAATTAACAACGTATTATCTTTATTCATGAGTTGGAAACCGGAAAAAGGCTAATTGAGGTAAATGTTATCAGGGTGGGGTTATCAGAATGTCTTCCAGCTTCCTGGAGTCCACTGGTATTGATTAACCTGTATGTAGCAGGGCTCCCTTAATTAGACCTGAGGACTTATTTTTGCATTTTTAATCCTCTCAGCTTTGAATATGTTGGCTAGAGGCTCATTTACTCCTCAGTTTGTGGTTTGGGAGGAAACAGAATTAGACAGTTTGCTGGCTTTTCTATTAAAAGAGACACTTAACCCATGTGGTGTGTCATCTTTTTATAATCAGTAATCCTATGTGGGGAAAACCATAAACACTACTTGTATGTAAAAAATAATTTAACCTTTAATGTTAAAATGTATGGCGTTACCCAGAAAGCATCAGTCACGAATGCAAGATACTTTCAATAAAAAGTAAGTTACGTAGTAGGTAGTAAATGGTTTGCTTTTTGTGTATTTAAATGTTTCTCTTCACTTAATATTAAAAGTTAAGCTTACGTGTGGTTGTTCAGTTGGGAAAGACTTGCAGGCAGTTCATGTCCTAGCTCACTGGAGGCTGCGACATAACAATAAGGTTCTGGTAGACTCTGTTCTAATTGTCTTCTAATTTTTTTTCTTTCCTCCTTGTGTTCCCTTTTTACTTACTTTCCCAGTTAGAATTAACTATATTCACATGTAGTCTTAATGTGTTCTCTTCGTGTTTACTGTGAGCTCTTCTGGCTCAGATTATTATTTGACAGTAGTTTGCTTTTACTTCAACTCTTATTTGTCCCAAATCTACCTTTATAATAAAGTTCCATGTGCTGTCTCACATAAATCCCCATTTGTTGTCTGTACCAGAGATAGCAAACTACAGCCTGTGTGTGGGTGAAATCTAGCCTACAACCTGTTTTTGCAGTCTGAGTGTTAAAAATGGTTTTTACATTTTTAAAGGATTGTTAAAAAATAGACACACAAAGACTGTATTTGACCAAAAACCCTAAAATATTTACTCTGGCTCTTCACAGAAAAAGATTGCAAACCCTTCGACTACTTCTGAATCCCTGATTCCCTTTACTCAGGAAGTAAGCTTGTTTTTCCATTTGTTCTGGTTTTAGTGGGGAAGGTAGCAGCATTCACTCCTAGCTGGAGTGTCTCATTTCTGCTATTTCCCAATGGTCAACTCTTGCCAAAAGTTTAACTACCTCAGGTATATCCCTAGCAATATCATAACAAACAAATCTTTCCTGAAAGTTCAGGATTGTTAGCATATGCTCTAGTTTGGAAAGGAAGTATCAGCTTATAGGAAGCGGGAGCCTATTATTATTAGCTGTTGATCTGTAACCCCCAAGAATTGTTACAATTACAGGACTAAATATCATCACTACCCATATTTAAAGGATACTCGGATCTTTCTGAATCTGTAAGATTGAGTGCACAGACAATATAGTAGTTTAAAATTTTGTTCTCTTCTTGACTTTCTGTAGACCTTGGCCCTTTAAACAAACAAAAATTCCTGATAATCTTAAACTCTCATGTTTAATAGAGATCTGACAGCTCATCCAAGAGAAAATAGGCAATTTGTGGATATTATATACCCAAATAAATCATAGGCATATTAAGAGGCCCTTCAAACTGGCTGTAACACTTTCCTACCCTTTTCCCTCTTCCCTGTTATATTCTATTTAATATGTCTACCAAGAGTTTTCCAGGCTCTCACCTTGTCCAAGGAAAGTGAGTGGCCCTTTCGCATTATCCATAATAGCAACCTGTCTTCAAAGACACACTCTCTCCTGTCTGCCCTCTCATTTCCCAGTTATTCTGAGCTAATGCTGTAGCATGAAGTCAAACTGAGGCTGGAGTCCTGCCTCTGCCTCTTAGTGCCTACCTCATCTTGGGTAAGTTGGAAATAGTAGCTACCTGCAGTGTGGTGCTCTTGGTGGTGAAGACTCCTCTGTGACAGTCCTTTGGCTTCTCAGCTTTTCATTGATTCTCTGGGTCACTTGTGATCGAAAGTAAACCAGCCGCCTTCTGAATGTTAGCTTATTACTTTCTCCCTAACATTGTCACGGATTAAGGATGTGTGCTCTCAAACAGTTTCTAATAATTCTTAACCTCTTTTGAGGTGCTGTTATATTTTATTAGCTCACCTTCATAAATCTACTTTTAATATAGGAAGTAGATATTGCTTTACAGTTTTTATATTTTTCCAAAGATTCACAGAGGCATCCCTTCAGGTTACAGATCCCTGAAGTGGCATTATAGCTGTGATTTGTTTATTCTACAACTGTTTGAACACATCAGCCGCTGGAATTGATTAAGCAAGATCTATATTGTAATTTGGTAGACTGCTAGGACTGCGGCTCTGTAACATGGTGTCACGGTAATTCTGAGCTTAGTCTGGAACTAGCTGGAGGAGGAGGAGAGTAACAGTGAGTCACTATAGGCACGTGACTCAGGGCAGGCAGATACTCCAAACCATGTGATTTTTCTTTTTGTTTTTGGCTGCGTTGGGTCTTCGTTGCATTGTGCGGGCTTTCTCTGGTTGCAGCTTGCGGGGCCTACTCCTTGTTGTGGTGCGTGGGCTTCTTGTGGTGGCTTCTCTTGTTGCGGAGCACGGGCTCTAGGCACGCGGGCTTCAGTAGTTGTGGCGTGTGGGCTCTAGAGCGCAGGCTCAGTAGCTGTGGCGCACGGGCTTAGTTGCTCCACGGCATGTGGGATATTCCCAGACCAGGGATTGAACCCGTGTCCCCTGCATTGGCAGGCGGATTCTTATCCACTGTGCCACCGGGGAAGTCCTGCCTAGGCTTTTAATACGGCAGTTTGAACAGGGAGACAAAGGGGTTTCCCCAGGGAAAAAGAGCAGCAGACGCTTTGATCTGAGCACAGCCTTTACCTTATCCACATCCATCAGAGTCTCATCTTTCAAAGCTTAATTTTGGTTGCCACCAGTCCCATTTGAAGACGTTTCTGATTATTTTTATAAAGCTCAGTATACACTGAAATGGGAAGGTACCAAATAAATGTTCTCCTATGAGTTGCTTGTGCTTTAAAAAGGTGATAATCTTCAATTGTCTGGATTTGTATGAAAACCAGAAGGGAATAAGGGAGAAGATTGCAAGTAAAGGGTAAGCACATGAAATGGTTAAATCCCTGAAGTGTAGCTCCTGGCTTCTTTGTAGGAAGTATAAGACATGGTTGCCTTCTTAGGAGATTTTGGTGTAGCTTAGGAGGCAGAGATAAATACTGCTGGGAGGAAATGAATAATAAAAATGTTCTGAGACAGAACATTAGTGAGCAAATTGGGGCTGCAGAGCTGGAAGGTTCCATGAAGAACTTGGTTTCAAAGGTCAAGTTGGATTTGGTTGGGGTGGAGGGATGCCAAGGTGAGGGAGAAAGCAGTGTGCTCAGTCTGGAACTAGTAGCAGAAGTTGGGTGTCATTAGGCCTGCTAGAGAATATAGTCTGGGAAGAGGTATTAAAGCTGGATTGGTGAAAGAATTTTGGTGACATTGTAGGAAGAGTATTCATCAGACTCATGTTAGGCAGTGCAGTTCTTGAGTGAACCACAATGTTTTTATTATTATTAAAGTATTCTGAATATTGAGGACTTTACAACTAGAGTCTTGATGCCTTTTTCTTGGTTACTATTGTTAAAAGTCACTACCTTCAAAAAACAGAATGAGTAAGAACTGTATGTGTACACAAGATGAAGAATGATGGAAGTTTATAACATGTCCCTTAGCCCAAGATTTAGCCATTTGAACACCTAAGCAGGTAGGCTGAATGCTACCCTTCCTGTTGAGTTGTCTGTGGATATCAGCATTGTTGGTGGCATAACGGTGTTGGTGAAGGGGCTCTTGTTTGAGCGATTTCCAGTGTGGGACTTCTTTTGAGTGACAGTTTAACTTACGGATAACATACTTGCTTCCTTGCAGTATTTTGCACTGTTGGCTATATCAGGTCTGTGTGCCAATACTGAGAGGCATTTTGTAGGAGGAATATAGTTGCTCACAACAATACCTGCTTCCATGTCTCTAGTTCTCATGACCTTCTGACACTGCTGAACTTGACATGTTCAGGAGTCATTTGCTGAACTTATTAACCTGCTATATGCCGGCCTCTTCTTTCACTCTGAGGATCAGCCTATTCCATAAAAGTACTCTCACCTTCAGAACCTTCCACCTGTATATGTTGCAAATTGGTATTTTTCCTTTGAGTGCTGAATGTGCCATTTCACATCCTCTTTTACCTGCTTCAGATGCTTTGCAGATATTTCTGTCGTAGGAGGCTTATAGGAAGGGTGGGGGGATACAGAAGAAACTCACATATATATATTCAAGAGTTTTCACAGTGGCTGTGTGTGTGTGTGTGGCTAGAACCTAATTTCTACTCCTCCATTCCCCCCTGCCCCACCATTGACTGTACATGCCTGAAAGAACAAGACTTCAGATAAAGGAATGTGAGAACACCTGAATAAAAAAGGAACATCTGGTCCAGAGCCCTGGGTGAACTTAAAAGTGTCAGCCTGAACTAGTAACTATCTCCCTTATAATTCATAGCTGCTGAAATATCCCTTACTTTAGGTTGCTAGTGACCTAACTCATGGGGACTGCTAGGGATAGGATCGTTCCTACCCCTACCCTAGGACAGAATTATGCCCTTTCCAGTTAACTCTTTGTGCAGTCCCATACTGCTCTTAACAACTTCAAAATGTCTCTTGATCTAAGGTGGGCTTTTATTCGAGGGAATTGACTATGGGAATATCCCCATCTATATTCTCTGTTGTAAAACTCCCTGCTGTACTCCCCGAGTACATTCAGTTATAGCTCCTCTCAGACCCCCACTGCCCAGTGTGGACAAGCAGACCAGTACAGACTTTGGGAGCCTGAGTTAAAAAGAAGCCCACGGTGATTTGAGATCTGAAACAGAAGGTGATCGCAGTAGTTGGGATTGGGGGAGTTGACACAACCTAGGAACCAGGTTCTGCTTTGGTTGCCAGCTCTGTTTCAAGGACCCTTGGTGAACTCTTAAGCTCTCAAGAGACCTGAGAAACAGGCATGCTAACGCAGCTTTTCTAACCTCACAGAAAAGCCAACTCACCTTTTTTAATATAATGAATTAGTTTTTGGTCTCAAATCTTATAGGCCTGGCAAGTCTGTTACCCTTGCTCCTTCTACGCTGTTTCCCCGCCCCCCCCCCATAGAAATGCATGCAGGAACTGATTCCTTTCTTATTCTTTGGAACAATGTAGTAGAGAACCATTCTGCTTCACTGCACATGTGGCCTTCCTAGCCAGGCTTATGGTACACTGAATAGAGCTGGGCCATCCAGAATGTAGTTACAGTTCAGAAGAGAGTCTAGCCACAGAGCTTCCTGTAAAGGGGGAAACACCCTCAAACAGGGAGACCTGGGAAGGCCCTGCTAACTTGTTGGGCTGAGCCCTCACCATGTCTTCTGAGCCTAGGAGGGCAGGGGGAGCAGCCGTAGCAGGGGAGGGATCAAGATCTGTATTTCAAGCAAATCTGCCAGTTGTCTAGGAATGTGTAAGGGAGGTTGTCTTGTCTTATGTCTCAGAAAACAGCGTGTTTTTGGCTGGAAATAAGGTGGGACTGCTGTGGTATTTGAAGTTGAATTTGGGGCTACACTCTCAAGTCACCCCATGCCCTCACAGGAATGTGCTGGTATGATCTAGGAAGATTTGAGTTTCCTCTTTGAAGTCAGTTTCTTTTAAAAGGCTGGTTTGATTTTAACAAAGTTGCCAAAGCCCCCCTCTTTACCCTCACATACACAAAGAGTGCATTGTTCATGTACCCCTCGTGCTGTGAATAAGACACCAGATCAGATGCAGCAACCCAGTCTTTCATAAGCCCTGGTTAAAATGTTTTTTGAAACAACTAGGCCAGTAGCCAGAGCGGAATTCTTTAAATGGGACAGATGTCAAGAGAATGGCTGGTCTCCTCTAGCACCCTTGCAGAAAAAAGCAAGTCTAGGATTACAACTTTCAGTGGCCTACTTTAAATAGACACTACTCTGGAAGATGACTTTCTTTATATTTTTAAACATAAAATCCAAAACACTAACTCTGTTAAGTGAAAATTACAATACATTATGGTGACCCAGCAACTGGCTGTTGTAATACTTCTTGCCCACCATTTGTACCTAGTGGTTGACTGACCTTTTGAGGTGGCTTTGTGACACCTTTTACATTCATGATGGGTCTCAAGTTGTTTATACTTAAACATGATGGAAACTGCTGTGGAAAAAGTAGACTGTAGATTTATCAGTCTTCAGTTTTGTATAAGAATATGACTACCTCAAGAAATACTTCATGTACCTTAGTCTTTGGGAGGAAAGGGTGCTATTAAAATACCCATCTTTTGGATTTTATGATGATACCAGGTTATAAGCGATTCCTGTGGTTCATGTTTTCCTCAAAATAGGCTATGTACTTGTGTCTTTTCTCTCTGCCTTCAGAGGAAAGTGGAGCCCAGTGATGATGCGTGCCCATTTCTGGTTGGGTTTTCTTAGGGGCTGTGGCGGCAGTTTCCAGTCCATTCTCATGAGCAGTGGGGTAGGTTGGCCTGTTTCTGCATCAGGGGTGAGCTCAGAGGACTGGGGGGTTAAGATCAAGACTTGCAATGGGAACTTATACCTAGCATGAGCCCCACTCTCTGGGTTGGAGCAGGGCCCAAGCCCCTTAAGGAGAGAAGACAAGAGTCAATCCCTGGCTTGTGTAGGTTCAAGGTCTTGAGAACATGTGTACCATAATAGAGAATAAACTTTGTGGCTGTGGAAAAGAAAAGGAAAGAGGGTTATACTCTGTCACTGAAACAGC